TTACCTGGCTTTATAGTCTGACCTTTTATATTATTTATGAAATCCTATAAATTTCTTAAATAGTTTGGACTCTTTGCTTTGCGTTTTAGGATATATATAGGCGTGTGTGGTATATTATTTCACGTGTGCGTTCACGTGTGTTTTTATATATATATGGTGTGCGGATGTGTGCCGCTGCGTGCGATGCGTGATCTATCTGACAGTGATCACAAGCCAATGCGTTGAAGCAGATCCGCCTCCCTGGGAAGTAGTGAGGCGAGATACACGTGTAGTCCTTATCGTGCTGTTTCTTAGTAGGATGACCACCATGTCCTTTTTGGCCTCTACGAGTCTCCTACATCCGTACTGGTAGTGCTATAGCCAACCTCTGCTAGCTCTCTCTCTCTCTCTCTCTCGCTCTCTCGCCTCTCTCGCTCTCTTCGCTCTCGCTCTCTCTCACTTCGTGCCCTCCTATCTCTCCTGCCGTTTAGCATGCCCTCTTGACATTCTCAGTCTTTAGACTGCCCATTTTCCTCATTTTCCCTTCCGCCCCTCATCATCACTCTGCTTTTTGCCATCTTCTTCCATTTTTTTGTTTCTCTCTCCCCCTTATCTCATTCTCTCATTCTATTTATTTCGCTCTCTCTCTTCTTTCTCTCTATCTCTATCCGCGAGCCTGATAATTTCCTATTGCCAACAATAATACCCTTCATAAATTCCGGCTTGGTATACGGTCTGATTCTGCTTTTACAAGGAGCCACGGCTGCATGGCGTCAGCTACATAAATCCATTGATACACGTCTCGCCTATTGACGACGATGACGATGACGACGACGATGATGATGATGATGATGATGATGATTCGATGGTGCATGATCATCATGATGATATTGGATGGCATCGGGTAGCGTGTGCATGCATGTGTACATGCGCTGTGCTTGTTACTGCACTCTCGGGGTAGCAGTATCCGTTCGCGTCTGCGCTGGCACGGATTCACTGTGCCCCTTCCGCTGCGTGCGGTGGCGTGTCTGTGGTGGAAATTCTCGGAGGCAGAATTTCTCGTCCGTGAGGGGCGCCACACGATAGTACACAGCGCCATTGCGCTGTGCCATATAGTAAGGGAAAACATAGTCGTGGGAGATAAGTGCGGTGCGCGTGCTTATGTGTGTGTGTGTGCGCGCGCGCGTGTGTGCGTGCGTGCGTGTGTGCGTGCGTGTGTGCTTATGTGTGTGTGGGCGTGCCGTTGCGTGCGTGCTGTGTGCGCTGTGTGCGTGCGTGTGTGTATGTGTGTGTATGTGTGTGTATGTATGTATGCGGGGCGCGCTTGGTATGTGTGTGTGTGCGTGCGTGCGTGCGTACGTGTGTGGTGTGTGTTCATGATGTGGCTGTGTCCGACTGCCTGGCGTCGTGCTTGCTGTATTGTGTGTGTGCGTCGTGTGTGCGCGTGCGTGTGTGTGTGTGTGCTGTGCGTGTGTGTGTGCGTGTGTGTGCGTGCGTGCTGTGCGTGCGTGCGTGCGTGTGTGTGACTGTGCGCGCGTGTGTATGTCGTGGCGTGTGGAGTGTAAAGGTGCAAGTGGCCGCGCCGCACGCTGGAGATAGCGCGAACGTGATAGTCGCCCATTTACACGCTGGGCCCATTATAGGCGGCAAGTTATAGGTTATTAGGCGTATAGGCGTTTCCTGTACGCGCACAGAGTTCTTCTAGTTCCTCCACAACGTGTGAAGTACTCCCGTTTTCATTGTTGCATGCCTAGTGCCTACCTGCGCGGGGTTGTACGTGGAAACAGCGGGGGGACCTGACCGAGAGCGGCGCGTGCATGCATGTAGCAGTGTGCGCGTGCATGCAGCAGTGTGCAGTGCGTGCATGCAGTGTACGCGTGCATGCAGCAGTGTGCGCCGCGTGCATGCCATCAGGCTGCGCGCGGTGCATGTAGCAGTGCGTGCGTGCATGCAGGCAGTTGTGCGCGCGTGCATGCAGCAGTGTGTGCGTGCATGCAGCAGTGTGCGCATGCATGCAGGCAGTGTGCGCGCGTGCATAGCAGCAGTGTGTGCGTGCATGCAGCAGTGTGCGCGTGTGCATGCAGCAGTGTGCGCGCGTGCATGCAGCAGTGTGCGCGCCGGTGCATGTAGCACGTGTGCGCGTGCATGCCAGCAGTGTGCGTGCGTGCATGCAGTGTACGCCGTGCAATGCAGGCAGTGTGCGCGCGTGCATGCATCAGTGTGCGCGCGTGCATGTAGCAGTGTGTGCGTGCATGTAGCAGTGTGTTCGCGTGCATGTAGCAGCTGTGCGCGTGCATGCAGCAGTGTGCGTGCGTGCATGCAGTGTACGCGTGCATGCAGCAGTGTGCCGCGCGTGCAATGCATCAGTGTGCGCGCGCTGCATGTAGCAGTGTGTGCGTGCATGTAGCAGTCGGTGCTGCGCTGCTGCATGTAGCAGTGTGCGCGCGTGCATGTTAGCAGTGTGCGCGCGTGCATGCAGCAGGTGCGCGTGTGCATGTAGCAGTCTGTGCGCGGTGCATGCAGCAGTGGGCGCGCGTGTATGTAGCAGTGTGCGCGTGTGCATGCAGCAGTGTGCCGCCGCGTGCATGCCATCAGTGTGCGCGTGTGCATGTAGCAGTGTGTGCGCGTGTGCATGTAGCAGTGTGCGCGCGTGCATGCAGCAGTTGCGCGCGCGTGCATTGCAGCAGTGTGCGCGTGTGCATGTAGCAGTGTGTGCGTGTGCATGTAGCAGTGTGCGCGCGCGTGCAGCAGTGTACGCGTGCAAGCAGCAGTGTGCGCGTGTGCATGTAGCAGTGTGCTTGCGTGTCAAAGATGTTCAGTAGGGGTAAATTTTGGTGCTGAATGTCATGGGCATATTGGATTTTACCTCGGAGGTCATCTAAGCCAAAAAAACGGAAAAACGGAAAAATATACTGGCTCCTGCAGCAGCATTAAATAAACGCACCCCTGCAGCAACATTAAATAAATGGGCCCCTGCAGCGGCATTAAAGCGTGTACTGCAAGAATTTTCCAGTGTTTCCCCCATTTTCATGATAGCTACCGTTATTGCTTGAGTAACAGCAATTGTCTAGAGTAACGATAACATGTCTTCGAACCTTCGTATTCACCAAATCCAATGAAATCATGCACGATTACAATTTTGCGTTCTGTTTCTGTTTACCCTTGTCATCTCTCGGATTTTCTCGCAGTAGCGCGAGACATCTATCAGGGTGTAGTAATGCATACCGTCGCACCGTAGAAATCAGGTCAGAGTGTAAACACAGACGTTCATACTAGCGTAACAGCATTGTAGTACTAATGTCACGTAAAGTCTGTTATTAGAAAAGCTTGTGGATTGCCAGTCAGATAGTAACACGGGAATGACAATGACAGAAAGTGCTCTGAATTATTGACATAAAAACTCGATAATATTTACCAAACAGAATTGCATGCCCTTTTGTTTTAATTATGTGCACTTGTTCAAAGACGCCATTTGTGATTTTGAGAGTCGGGACACGCAAAAATTTATTGCTGGTATGATGTGGTCAAATCAATTTTTCTATGCTATAACTGCATGAAATCTTGGTGTTTTGAATGTTGGTGTAATCAGTAATATTTTCGCTGTCAGGTGAGACTATATTCAGCTATATTTAGTTTTTCTGAGCAAAATTCTCGCAATACACGCTTTAAATAAATGGGACACACTTTGCACTAACTCGCATTACTGTACAATGCGCGTTACATTGCGTTACTATACATGCATTATGTTACATGCGTAGATAACATAGATAGGTAGATAGGTAGATAGGTAGATAGATAGATAGATAGATAGATAGATAGATAGATAGATAGATAGATGAATGGATAGATGGATAGATAGATAGATAGATGAATGGATAGAAAGATAAATAGATTTTTGCGTATTTTTTTTTCTCAACCAAGTTGTCACCAACGGAGCGCTTTATTTCCCGGGCAACGCCGGGTGTCCTGCTAGTGTGTGATAAACACACAGCCAATGGTATACAATATCACTCATATCATAAGAATAGTGACGTTGTACCCTCACTTTCGCTACGCAACAATATCAGCGAAGTAACAATGCCGCAATGACAAAGCACAACACAACAACAATGCCACGACATGATACTAAGGCCATAACATAATGAAGAAGCCATAGAGATATGACTGAGTCACAGCACGTCTTAAACTGACATCTTGACTTGACAATTTCCCAACATAAAAATGAAGCCATAAGACAATGACAACGGCATCATGGCAAATGACAAATGACAATGACAAAGGCCACGAAGATTTCTCAACAAGACAGCTCATCGTGACAGTCCCCTGCCTCGATCACGTCTCAACACGATAACACATCAACCCGACAACGTCTCGACATTACAATGAAGCCACAATCAATGTCACGATGAAGCCAAAAGGCAACAATGCCTCAACCACAATGACATCTCGCCGACAAATCCGCTGTGGCAGGAACGCACAGCTGAACCCGCAATGCTATGACTATTCTACCTAGTAGTAGTAGTAGTAGTAGTAGTAGTAGTAGTAGTAGTAGTAGCAATAGCAGCAGCAGCAGCAACAGCACCAGCAGCAACAGCGGATTTGTCGTCGAGATGTCATTGTGGTCGAGGCATTGTTGCCTTTTGGCTTCGTCGTGACATTGATTGTGGCTTCACTGTCGTGTCGAGACGTTGTCGGGTTGATGTGCCCACCAGCACCAGCAACAGCAGCAGCAGCACCACCACCAAAACCAGCAGCACCAGCAGCAGCAGCAGCAGCAGCAGCAGCAGCAGCAGCAGCAGTCGGTAGCTATTAGTTAGTTACTCACGTCTGAGGCTGCGACCGTCTCGTCCGGCGTCGACGTCCCGCTGTGAGAATCCGCCGCCGACCTCCGACCTCTCCGTGCCTTCGGACTCCGCCCGCTCCGGCAGCAGCAGCTCCTGCTTGACGACCGTGCTCTCCGGGAACACGTTCGGCCGCGCCCGATAAATTCCGGCCCGCATCCCACCGCTCTGCTGCCGGCCGCCGCCGCCGCGCGTTCTTGGCGCGTTTCGCGGCTGCTGCGAATGCGCGACGAGTGGTAGGCGTCCGGCTGCTCGCCGACGGTCAGCACGGGCCGGAACGCGCCGCCGCCGCCCGGGTTGATGACGGCAGCGCGGCGGGCGGCGTGGAACTGCGGCCATCTGGAGCACGTGCGGCGCGGTTGGCGAAGCTGTCCACTTGTCGGTAGAGGGAAGGGTTCATGGCGTAGGCGGAGACCTGGCGCAGGTCCTTGTCGGGGATCGACGTCGCGTAGGAGAGACGCTGCTGCTGCGGGGGCGAGAAATTACGCACGTCGGTCCGAAACGCGCACTCTGCGAATTTAGAATGCGTTCCGAACGTAGAACGAGAGAGATGTCGCTCTGATTATTGCTAGGCCCTACTGTTCACGG